TGGGCCAAGCCAATGTGACATCATCCATTGGTTTGTGAGAAACAGTTTTGAAACGTCTACCTTGGAATATAGCTTTCACCATTTTGTGAAAATGGTGGTTCTGACTTGAGAACCTAAAGACATAATAAACATACAGTACATTCTGATAAATTCTGAAACATGTCAGTCACAAGACCCCACCCTAAAGCATACCCTGCTCTATCATCTGTTTTACTCTAAGTTGAACCATAGCATACAAAATGAACGTCATGTTGCATTGAAGGAGATTTGAAACTAGTATTTGAGACCATAAACTCATTCGGAAAATGGTTACTGAGGTAATAGATCAAGTGAGTGGTAAGGTCACTCTCTTGTAGACTACGATACATTCTGACTTCTTTTTGCAACAGTAGGAGTCTCCCCCTGCTGGTTGTTAGTAAGAACGCAGGTTTAAGGCACTTAAGTGTTGGTTTCATTTTTAAGACCTGGGAGCTGGGAGATACCGGATTTCTGGTTCCCAGAGACTATAAGCCATAATCATCAAAATTAAACCCAAAAAGTGTTTAAAATATTTATTTTTATCTGGTATGAAGCTAGAATCTATCAAAGTTTTCCCTTTTCAAGTATTTTATGAAAAAAAGAACTTTATTTTTTAACGATATCTACATTTTTTTTATCTACATGGGCTGACATCTGTCTGTAAATGTCAATAAAGTCACTACAAAACAGAACACATTATTATTACAGAAGGGCCATTGAACACTATGTTCCACAATGCAAAAAATACTTCAAATGTGGTTTATTGTGTTGTTGTTTATTGCATTAGCTTGTTTTGCACCTGCTGGCCAGTGGGGAGGGGGAGACTCGGACAGGGGTTTTGACCCCCATGCCCTGCCCACACACACTGCCCATTCTGCTGGACATGACCGGGGTGACTCTGGTGCCCTACCGGCTGATAGAGGAGCAAGGCTCACACTAAAAGCACAAAAACTCGGATCACCACACCTTTCACACTTCTGTACCTGCTAGTTTAAGTTTAAGTCTCTGATTCTGTCTCTGTCGGCCACAGTTGCACTTTTTTGTCCTCTGATTTTTAGTTCTGAAGGAGCGGCAACCTCTGTTGTAATAATCCTTCACCTAGCAACCCTTGAGCTGGTTTCAGTTTGTTTCTTTGGTTCAGCGCATGTTCTGTTTTCATAAATGGACACTGGTTTGGTCTTTGTCTTGTGTCTGTATTCTGGGTTCCCTGAGTAGCTGGGACATCTCCTCTGGTGTGAAAACTAACTGCAAAAAGAGATGCTGTGGAGGGAAATGAAACAATCGATTTATTCAAGAAAGCCAGCGACATCCCAGAGTTGAAGCTGTCCTGTATGGAGGGTTGATGTGCAGGATTGATCAACAGTCACCAGAAATATTTTCTTACAGTAAGTGCTGCACAAGAAGGTTACACTGAAAGCAAAGATTCACACAACTCACAGATGTGTAATATTGGATAATTTTCCTCAATTAATACATTTTTCTCTCTCTTTTTTAAACTGTGTTGTCTGTCTATTTCTAGGACTTGCTGTTTTATTGATGACATATTTATGCAGAAATATAGAAACTTTAAGAGGGTTCACAAACATTTAAGCACTACTATAAATGCATACAGGTCTATGATGTAAGTACTGTATGATGTTTGCTCTTTGCAATATAGCCCTAACCTAAATTAAAACACCATTTTGTGCAACTGTAACATGCTGGTCAAGGCGGTTGCTTGCAAACAGTCCTCGGTTTCCTGTTAAGCTGATTTGCATGTATAAATAGAAAAGTGGCTGCCTTGCTTTAAAGGTGTGCTCACATCATTTCAGAAGCATTCGACGGAACTCGATGACTGCAGGCACTTCAACCACAACCCAACACATCCCTGGAGCTGAACATCATGCACGAGGCGCCTGATATCTACGCTAACGTTGAGGCATTTGCAGCAAATTGCAGCAATAGGACGAGTGAGGCGAACAGTTCGGAAAATGCTTATGAAAATCTGCCGATTCACAATCTGGAACCAAAACAGACACAAACTAAATCGGCACGAACAGGTAAGGAACACCAGGCCCTGCATTTGGCTTTTATTCTCACTTTAAAAGTCAGCTAACTGTCTGTAACCTGTTGCACTGCACCAATTTAAAAAAGGCTGATTCTATTTAATTTGACAGATAAAACTGATTTGATTGTTGCCGGAGATGTAAAGAAGACTTTCGGCAAAAATGTTCCAGTGTCTCTGGCTTTGCTGTGCCTTCTCCTCCTGACTGGACTCACTGCTCTGTCTGTCCTATGTGAGTATTATGTTTGCATTGCTGGTAAATCACCACGTAGATGATGGTGGTTGACGGTGTTTCTTTACTTGTTTATGTGTCAAACACAGTTACCAAGAGCAGCTCTGAGTGCGGAACAAAGATGGCTCTGTTGCAGACCAGTGAGCACAACCTGACTAAAAAAATAGACCAGTTACAGACCAGGTGCAACACTCTGGATGAAGAGAAAGGCCAGTTACAGACCAGTTACAACACTCTGGATGAAGAGAAAGGCCAGTTACAGACCAGTTACAACACTCTGACTGAAGAGAAAGGCCAGTTACAGACCAGGTGCAACACTCTGACTGAAGAGAAAGACCAGTTACAGACCATGTACAACATTCTGGTTGAAGAGAAACAGCAGTTACAGACCAACTACAACAATCTGGTTGAAGAGAAACGCCAACAGTACTTGTTGCCTCGACTTTCCAATCGGAATGGCAGGTCTTAGATGAAGGAGACGAAGAAAAAAAAATGGAAAAAGCTGTATGATTATGACTATGTAAACATGTGCAAAATGAAGTGTAACTACACAGTG